CTGTGAGCTGAAATGCCATGGCACTCTACCCAGGGGGACAGCTTGAGGCTCCTGTCTCAAAAAAAAAAAAAAAAATTATGGGTTTGGAATCCAAGTACAGCCTTACCAGGCTATTTGCTTAGGGTCTCACAAGGCCATAAGAAAGGTGAGCCAGAGCTGGGTTCTCATCTAGCTCTCTGCTTCCCTACCCACCTGGTTGTTAGAAGCATTTTGTTCCTTTTGATCGTTAGACTAAATGCTTCTTTTTTTCTTTCCAGCTATTAGCTGGAGCCCGGATCTCAGTGATTAGATGGTGCATGCAGTTCATGTGGAGTTCTCCGTCATGGCCACTTGCTTACTCACAGCCACCAAAGGAGAAAGACTCCAGCAAGACAGGCCTGACAATGTTATGTAAGGTAATCACGTATCTCCCAGCACCTGTCCATACACTACTGATTAGAAGCAATTCACAGACCCAACCCCCAAGTAAGAAGAGAGAAATGGATCATATAAGGGCGTGAACATCAGGAGGTGGGAATCATGGAGGCCACCCATCTGTGGCCAGTCTGTCTACCACAAGCAGCTACTTGTTACTATGGTTACAGAACAATCACTCTTTTCTTGAGTTTGTGGGTGTAGACCAATGGGGGTGGCATACACTGCTGTTGGGAGTTGGTAACACTTTAGAAAATGGCTTGGCAGTTTCTTGAAAAGCTGAACACCTACCATATAATCCAGCCATTCCACTGCTAGATCTTTTTGCAAGAGAAATGAAAACAACCAATATAAAGACTTGTACATAAATGTTCATAGCAGCTTTATTCATAGTACATTTAGAAACAATCTAAATGTCCATCAACAGGTGAGTGGTTAAACTTAGATATATCCATATAGTGGAATATTTCTCAACAATAAAAAAGAATGGAGTTATACACACGAGATGATTCTCAAAACTATCAGGCAGAGGGCAGCACCTGTGGCTCAGTGGGTAGGGCACTGGCCCCATATACCAAGGGTGAGGGGTTTGAACCCGACCCTGGCCAGCTAAACAGCAATGACAACTGCAACAACAACAAAAAAGCCAGGTTTTGTGGCAGGCACCTGTAGTCCCAGTTACTTGGGAGGCTGAGGCAAGAGAATCACTTGAGCCCAAGAGTTGGAGGTTGGTGTGAGCCATGATGCTACAGCACTCTACCAAGGGCAACAAAGTGAGACTCTGTCTCAAAACAAACAAACAAACAAAAAACTATCATGCAGAAAGAAACCAGACAAAAAAAGAGTATTTCCTGTATGATGCCATTTATATGCCATTCTAGAACAGCAAATTAACCTGTAGTTCCTGAAAGTAGAGTAGTTGTTGCCAAGAGCTCAAGGTAGAGGGAGAGAGAGATGAACTGTAAAGGGGCACCTGGAAACTTGTGGGGGTGATGGAAGTGTTCTGTATTTTAACAGTGGTGATGGTTTGCAGGTGTATACATGTCATACTCAAATTGTTCATTTTCTAAGAATGTAGGTAGTATACCTAAATTATAACTCAAAAATGTTACTAGGAAGAAAAATTAAATGAGATTCAACAGAGACATATGGGTCTACACAATTGGAAGAGGAAATAATGTTAATACACATAATTTTGAACACAATTTTCTTTTTTTTCAGGTTTTTTTTTTTTTGGGCCGGGGTTGGGTTTGGTTTTTTTTTTTTTTTTTTTTTGAGACAGAGCCTCAAGCTGTCCCCCCCTGGGTAGAGTGCCGTGGCATTACAGCTCACAGCAACCTCCAACTCCTGGGCTCAAGCGAGTCTCCTGCCTCCGCCTCCCAAGTAGCTGGGACCACAGGCGCCCGCCACAGCGCCCAGCTATTTTTTTTTGGTTGCAGCCGTCATTGTTGTTTGGCGGGTCCGGGCTGGGGATTCGAACCCGCCACCTTAGGTGTACGTGGCTGGCGCCTTAGCCGGCTGAGCTATAGGCGCCGAGCCCCGGGGTTGGGTTTGAACCTGCCACCTCCAGAATATGGGGCCAGCTCCCTACTCATTTGAGTTACAGGTGCTGCCCTGAACATAATTTTCAACATAATAACATTCTCATCTCTCTTGAGCATTAGCTAAAAAAGAAATGGAGGTAGTTGAAACATTTTACATTTTTATTCATTTCCAAGGTAGTTATCACCTTTGGTTCTAATAGAATGAAGAAGTTACTTATCATTAAAAAATACTAGTGGGTGGCACCTGTGGCTTAAAGGAGTTAGGTGCCGGCCTCATATGCCAGAGGTGGCAGGTTCAAACCCAGCCCTGGCCAAAAAATAAAAATAAAAAGAAAATTAAAAAAAAATAAAAATACTAGTGATGTTGAGTATTTTTAACATTTATTGGCCACTTGAGTTTCTTTTTCTTTCAATTGTCTGTTTGTGTCCTTTTTTTTGAGACAGTCTCACTCTATTGTCTAGCTAGAGTGCCCTGACATCAGCATAGTTCACAGCAACCTCAAACCCCTAGGTTCAAGCAACCCTCTTGTCTTAGGCTTCTGAGTAGCTGGGACTACAGGTGTCCGCCAAGATGCCCAGCTAGTTTTTTCCATTTTTTGTAGAGACAAGGTCTTACTCTTGGTCAGGCTGGTCTCAAACTGCTGAGGCCAAGCAATCCTCCTGCTGGGATTTCAGGGGTGAGCCAGTGCCAGGCCTGTCCTACTTTTTCTATTAGGTTGTTCTTCCTAGTTCATTTATTTACACACCTGTCTGCCTCATCAGTCTGGGAGCTCCGTGGAGACAAAAATCTCATTTCTTTCTCTATCCTCAGCCCAGTACAATGTGTAGTATTTAGGTCATGAAATGTTTGTTTAAAGTCAACTGAATGGGCTGGGCACGGTGGCTCACGCCTGTAATCCTAGCACTCTGGAAGGCCGAGGTGGGTGGATTGCTTGACTTTAGGGGTTGGAGACCACCCTGATTAAGAGTAAGACCCTGTCTCTACTAAAAATACAAAAAACTGAGGCAAGAGGATCGCTTGAGTCCAAGAGTAGGAGGTTGCTGTGAGCTATGATGATGCCATGATACTCTACCCAGGGCGACAGCTTGAGACTCTGTCTCAAAAAAAAAAAAAAAAATTGAACTGAATTATCTAAATTCATCCTCCTAAACACCTGGAAACTTTAACGTTATTGCTTTTGTTTTATAGATGAACATAAAACACAAGAGTTAACTTGCAGTCATACACTGCTAGATGATAGCATTGGGACTGTAGGACCAATGGACTTCTGATGGTAAACCACAGAATTGTGTATTTTACAAGAATCTAGCAAAGGTCAACCTCTGCTAGGCGCATGCGTCCCTTCCCTTTCTCACGGTAGGAAAAGAGACTCGTCCTCCTTTCCTTCCGCTTTGCTTCCCTTTTGGCCCCAGCGACTCGCCATAGCCCGTGTAGAGGCATTCGCTAGTTGGCGTGATGGCTACTGGGGCGCCAGATTCTCAAGCGCGGTTCGGTCAGTCCGTAAAGGGGCTTCTCACGGAGAAAGTGAACACCTGTGGTACTGACGTGATCGCGCTCACCAAGCAGGTGCTGAAGGGGTCCCGGAGCTCCGAGGTGAGTTAGGAGCGGACTAGCCTAACCTAACACTGCGGGGGCTTGCAGTCTTTCATAGCTGTGAGAAGAGGGTCGCACTGCATCCTGGGAATAGTAGGCTGACCTCGCTGAGAGTAGGGCTCATTTGCGGAGGGCGCGTGTTGCATTCTGGGATGTGTAGTCTCTTTGGTTAGGCTTAGCGGCTTGGAGGCGGGGAAAGAGAAACAGTGTGGTAGGAATCCGCTTTACAGCAAGGAGAGCTGGAAGGCTGCAGACCAGCTAGTGTTCCTAACTAATTACTCATTGTTTTTCGGCGTTGTCTCTAGTGCAGATCGGCTCATTTCAGCCCCTACATTCCGCATGGTTTTGCCTCAACAACCCATATTCCTTCCACCCTTTTGTGCATCGCTTGTGTATGGGCTTATTTTTATTTGTCTTTCTGGGCACAGTCTTAGTTTTCTGTTTCTTAGATTAGCTATCTTCTCTCTGTTTTCTGCTTCTCCATCTTCTAGCTGGTTCCATGGATAGAATTATTTGGTGGCTTTTCTCACCAAAAATATTTATATGTGTACACCCTGCCTCTCTCCCAAATAGACCTATTTACTGAACACCTAGATACTCAAGAGGAATGAAAATATATGTCCACACAAATATTCGTACATGTTCTTAGCTCCTTTATTTACGATAGCGCTAAACTGGAAACAATCCAAATGCCCATTGACAGGTGAATGATAAATGAAATGGGTCCAGTGACCCAGCAATTCTACTTCTAGGTTTTACCCAAGAGAAGTGAAAACATATGTCCATCATTTTGTTAGATGAAGCAGTCCTGTACATGTCATCTAAGGTTCCCTTCCAGTTTTGTTTCTATTAAAATAGAACATCTTGAATACATTTGTAAAACAATTTGAGCACAGAATCTTATTATTTTTTTTTTTTTTGAGACAGAGTCTCAAGCTGTGCCCCTGGGTAGAGTGCTGTGGCATCAGAGCTCACAGCAACCTCCAACTCCTGGGCTCAAGCGAGTCTCCTGCCTCTGCCTCCCAAGTTGCTGGGACCACAGGCGCCTGCCACAACGCCTGGCTATTTTTTTGGTTGCAGCAGTCATTGTTGTTCAGCGGGCTGGGCTGGATTCCAACCCACCATCTTAGGTGTATATGTCTGGCACCTTAGCCACTTGAGCCATAGGCACTGAGCCACAGAATCTTTTTAGATTTCGATTAATTGCAGACTTTTTCATTGTTTTGCTCATAATTAGCTCAATGGCAGTTTGTCTTATCTGCTTATGATCAGCCAAGTGTTTCCTATATCAACTGAATTTTAATTTAATTTTAATTTAATTGATTTATTTATTGTCTAGGCCTCTGAAATAGCTGCGACTATAGGCGCCTGACACAACGCCCATCTATTTTTTTGTTGCAGTTTGACCGGGCCCGGGTTTGAACCCATCACCCTTGATATATGGGGCGGGTGCCCTACTCACTGAGCCACAGGCGCCACCCAGCAACTCAAATTCTTTGGCTTGAGCAAACCTCTTGCCACAGCCTCTGAGTATGTGGGACTACAGGCCTACACTACTACGCCCAGCTAGTTTTTCTGTTTTTAGTAGAGATGGGGTCTTGCTGTTGCTTAAGCTTGTCTTAAACTCCCAAACTCAAGCAATCCACCTGCCTTGTCCTCCCAGAGTGTTAGGATTACAAACATGAGCCACTGCATTGGGCCTAGTAGACTTGTCTTTACAGAATTGGCTTTAAGTATTGTGTCCTTCCTTCCTTAGTTTTTTTTTTGATAGTGGCTATAAGAAACAAGTGTGTGAAGAAGGTGCTTGCATTTGCCATAACTGTTCAACTGTTGTTGAGGTTAGTGATATGCTGATCCCAAATATGCCTTGTGTGAGATCTCATATGACACAGTCGTTTTCTATGATTTAATATCAGAAGAAAGTTTATTCAGAAGAACTGTTGTCTTGCCTGTTACCAAAGAATAAGAATTATGTAACTTATTGTTCCACTTTTTGCCTTGGTTGCATACAAGTTTCTACACAGTTTAGGGGTAAATATATTTACCTCATTCTTTTTTTTTTAGAGACAGTCTTACTTTGTCCCCCTTGGTAGAGTGCCGTGACGTCACAGCCCACAGCAACCTCCAGCTCCTGGGCTTAGGCAATTCTCTTGCCTCAGCCTCCTGAGTAGCTGGGACTACAGGCGCCCGTCACAACACCCAGCTATTCTTTTGTTGCAGTTTGGCTGGGGTCAGGTTCCAACCCAACATCCCTCAGTATATGGGGCTTGCGGACTACTCACTGAGCCACAGGTGCTGCCTGATATATTTTCTTCTTTCCTGACTTTCGCATTCTATTTCCTTTTTTCTTTAATCTGTGTATATGTGTAAATACCCACATAGTTTGTTATAAATTGTCTTGAATCTTTTTTTTTTGGGAAAATATATAAATTAAAAAAATAGATAGTATCCATAGGTAACTACCTGTATATATTGAGAATACTCATCGTAACAAACTTAAATTTATTTATTTATTTATTTTGAGACAGAGTCTCACTTTGTCGTCCCATAGAATGCCACGGGGTCAAGTGATCCTCCTGCATCAGCCTCCTTAGTACTGGAACTACAGGTCCTGCCACAACACCTGGCTATTTTTAGAGACAGGGTCTTGCTCTTGCTCAGGCTGGTCTTGAGCTTGTGAGCTCAAGTGATCCATCCCCCTTGGTCTCCCAGAGTGCTGAGATTACAGGCGTGAGCCACTGTGCCTGGCCTCAAACTTAAACTTTTTTTATTTTTAAATATATTTTTTATTTTTTTGTAGAGACAGAGTCTCAGTTTATCACCCTCGGTAGAGTGCCGTGGAGTCACACAGCAACCTCTAACTCCTGGGCTTAGGCGATTCTCTTGCCTCAGCCTCCCAAGTAGCTGGGACCACAGGCGCCTACCACAACGCCCGGCTATTTTTTGGTTGCAGTTTGGCTGGGGCCGGGTTTGAATCCGCCACCCTTGGTATATGGGGCTGGTGCCCTACCCACTGCCACAGGCACCACCCTCAAACTTAAATTTATTGATTGATTATTCGAAACAGGGTTTTGCTCTTTTGCCAAAGCTAGAGTGCAGTGTGGTTATCATAGTTCAGTGTAACCTCAAGTTCCTGGGCTCAAGCAATACTCCTGCCTCAGCCTCTAAAGTAGCTGGGAAAGAACAGAGCTAGGATTCAAGTCCAGAATTCAAGTAGCTGAGACTATAGGCATACACCAACATGCCCAGCTAATTTTTCTGTATTTTGTAGAGACAAGGTCTTGCTATGTTGCTTAGGCTGGTCTGTTTTTTTTGAGACAGAGTCTCACTATGTCGCCTTGGTAGTGTGCTGTGGCATCACAGTTCACAGCAACCTCAAACTTGCTTGTATACAAGCAGCCCTCAGGTTACAAATGAGATAGGTTCTTCTTTTTTTTTTTTTTTTTTTTTTTGAGACAGAGCCTCAAGCTGTGCCCTGGGTAGAGTGCTGTGGCATCATAGCTCACAGCAACCTCCAACTCCTGGGCTCAAGCGAGTCTCCTGCCTCAGCCTCCCAGGTAGCTGGGACCACAGGCGCCCGCCACAATGCCTGGCTAATTTTTGGTTGCAGCCATCATTGTTGTTTGGTGGGCCCGGGATGGATTTGGACCTGCCACCTTAGGTGTACATGGCTGGCGCCTTAGCCACTTGAGCCACAGGTGCCGAGCCGTGTGGATTGATTTAAATTGTAATTAGTCCAGCTTTCTGGACTGTCTGTACAGGGTTGACACATCATCTCTTAATTCTCTTTTTATTGGATTTCTTATATGGCACTTATCAACATATAATATTGCCTTTTTCTATATCTCTTTACTATGTACTTTTGCCATTTCCTTTACTAGACTATGAAGTTATTAGAGTATCTTACTAATTTTCAGTCCTTCTAAGCCCACATAGAGCCTTACCTCTTGAGCAGTCTCCACATGGGTATTTTGTTTGATGAACTGACAATTTTCCATGTGTAAAATACTCATTCTACAGCATTCATTTAACAAATACAGAGGATGCCAAAAATACATACACACATTTTAAGAAAGGAAAAAACTGTTAAATTTGTAACATTCAAGTCACATTTGACTTCTACAATTAGAAGACGTGCTCAATGTGACTTGTGTTCATCTTTGTTATTGGTACATATTGAGGTGTTTTTTTTTTTTGTCCCCTCTGTAGAGCGCTGTAACATCATAGCTCACAGCAACCTCAAACTCTTGGACTGAAGTGATTCTTTTGCTTCAGCCTCCCAAGTAGCTGGGATTGCAGGTGCCCACTACAACACCCGGCTATTTTTTGGTTGTAGTTGTCATTGTTTCGCAGGCCCAGGCTGGATTCTAACCCACCAGCTCTGTTGTATGTGGCTAGTGCCCTAGCTGCTGAGCTACAGGCATCAAGCCCATATTAAGTATTATAATTTTAATACAGTTTTTTTCCTTTCCACAAATATGTATAAAGTCCAGGCACAGTGTCTCACACCTGTAATCCTAGCAGGTGTGGGAGGCTGAGGTGGGTGGATTGCTTGAGCTCAGGAGTTCAAGACTAGCCTGAGAACAGTGCCTGTGGCTCAAAGGAGTAGGGCGCAGGCCCCATATGCCAGAGGTGGTAGGTTCAAACCCAGCCCTGGCCAAAAACTGCAAAAAAAAAAAAAAAAAAAAGACCAGCCCAAGCAAGAGTGAGTGAGACCCCTTGTCTAAAAATAGCCAGGCATTGTGGCAGGTGCCTGTGGTCCCAGCTACTTGAGAGGCTGAGGCAAGAGAATCACTTGAGCCCAGGCATTTGAAGTTGCTGTGTGCTGTGATGCCCTGGCACTCTACCAAAGGTGACAAAGTGAAACTCTGTCTCTGGTATCCTCTGTATTTAAAAACTGTCTGATATGGGCTCAGCGCCAGTAGCTCAGTGAGTAGGTGGGTTCGAGCCTGGCCTGGGCCTGCTGAGCAATAATGATAACTGCAACCAAAAGGTGGCTGGGTGCAGTGTTGGGCGCCTGTAGTCCCAGCTACTTGGGAGGCTGAGGCAAGAGAATCAGTTACGCCCAAGAATTAGAGGTTGCTGTGAGCTGTAACACCATGGCACTCTACTGAGGGTGACATAATGAGACACTGTCTTGGCTCGGTGCCTGTGGCTCAAGCGGCTAAGGCGCCAGCCACATACACCTAAGGTGGCCGGTTCGAATCCCCAGCCCGGGCCTGCCAAACAACAATGATGGCTGCAACCAAAAAAAATGGCCAGGCACTTGTAGTCCCAGCTACTTGGGAGGCTGAGGCAGGAGACTCGCTTGAGCCCAGGAGTTGGAGGTTGCTGTGAGCGTGATGCCATGGCACTCTACCCAGGGGGATAGCTTGAGGCTCCGTCTCTCAAAAAAGAAATTCCCCAAACAGGCTCGGTGCCTGTGGCTCAAGTGGCTAAGGCGTCAGCCACGTACACCTAAGGTGGCGGGTTCAAATCCAGCCCGGACAGCCAAACAACAATGACGGCTGCAACCAAAAAATAGCCAGGCATTGTGGCGGGCACCTGTAGTCTGGATTTTTTTTATGTTTCACATTTAAGATCTGAAATACCTCTCCAGCCAACCTTAATCTCAGCCCCAAATGTACTTTGGGTTATTATGCATAGGCCAAAACCTGTAAGGCACAATAATGTATCTGGCTTTTGACCTTTTTTTTTTGAGACGGAGCCTCAAGCTATCCCCCTGGGTAGAGTGCCATGGCATCACAGCTCATAGTAACCTCCAACTCCTGGGCTCAAGCGAGTCTCCTGCCTCAGCCTCCCAAGTAGCTGGGTGTTGTGGTGGGTGCCTATAGTCCCAGCTACAAGGGAGGCTGAGGTAAGAGAATCACTTGAGCCCAAGAGTTTGAGGTTGCTGTGAGCTGTAACACTACTGCACTCTTCTGAGGGCAACATAGTGAGACTCTGTCTCAAAAAAAAAAAAAAAAAAAGAAAAGAAAAGAAAAATAAACCTGGGAACCTGGGAATAGAGTGTGATGAAAGGGTTTACGTTAAACAGGGTGGTCAGGGAAGGACCTTCTGGGGAGGATGATGTTTGAGCAAACAACTGAATGAAGTGAAAGAGCAAGCCCTATTGATATCAGGAGGCAGAGAGTTCAAAGTGTTGGTAATGACAAAGGCAAAGGCCTTGAGATGGGAATGTATTCCAGGAATGCAAGGAGGTCAGTATGAATTGAGCACAAAGTGAGGAAAAACAAACTGATTTACGCCCACAGCCATAGGAATGTTTATGACTATCATGCTATTTTCTTGGATGCCTGTGCTTCTGTCCCTCCATTGGAGCTGCGTGCTTTAGTGAGGGTCTCTTGTGTTTTTTCCTAAACACAGTGTGTATATGGTGCTTATATTTGCAACTGTAGCTACATAATTTAATAAAATAATATGGAAAATGAAATCCAAGTCCAACAAAAAAAAATGGGAAAAAAAAGTTTATAGGTATATTCAAGTTGTTCTTCCATTTTAAAGCAAGCCTGGAAATGTTAAATGATATGTTGTATGGTTGGTGGTTTACGTAGGAAAATGATACAGAGATCCTTTTGCAGTTCATAAATGAAGACTGGGTGTTGACATGTGTGTGTGAGATGTCCTTCCCTCCAATTTTGTTACAGTGTCAGCACATTACTCCTCTGATGTCAAAGAAAAAAAAAAAAGGAAAACGATGCACAGTGCCTCAAAGAAAAGGCCTTGGCCTTATAACAGTTCCTATAATCCAGGCAGTCACGGGTCCCATCACATCTCTTTTCTATGACATCTCCTCCCCCCCCCCCCATTTTCACTTCTGTGTTTCAGGCCACCTTCATTGCTTGCTTCAAATTCTGCAGTGTCCTTCTAACTAGTCTCTGCCTTTATTCCCCACTCTAGTGAATCTGTTTATTATACTTCTAAAACAGTAAATCTGTTCATGCCACGTTCTGTAAAATTATATAATTAAATTAATTCTTTTTTTTTTTTGAAGAGACAGAGTCTCCACTTTATCCCTCTCAGTAGAGTGCTGTGGCGTCACAACAACCTCCAACTCCTGGGCTTAGGCGATTCTCTTGCCTTAGCCTCCGGAGTAGCTGAGAACACAGATGCCTGCCACAGTGCCCAGCTGTTTTTTTTTGTTGTTGTTCTTGCAGTTTGGCTGGGTCTGGGTTTGAACCCACCACCCTCAGTATATGGGGCCAGCGCCCTACACATTGAGCCACAGGCACTGCCCAAATTAATTTTTCTTTTTTATTGTTGGGGATTCATTGAGGGTACAGGAAACCAGGTGAATTAAATTAATTCTAAACCCTGATCTTCAGACTTCAGCTTAGAAGCCACTCCTTTTAGAAGCCCTCTCTGAACTCCTACTTTCTACAATGGGTTAGACACCCTGCCTCCCTACTTGCTCCCAGAGTTCCAGTAGTTCTCTTTCTGGGCTTATGATAAGGTGTTTTAAGTGCCTATGTCCCCTTTGTAACCCCTCCAGATGGTGAGCCCCAGTACTGCTCTCATCTGCCATATTGTAAGAACTCAGTAAATATATATTGAATGAAAAAGATGAAATAAGTTCCGTTATAACCCTTTTTTGTGTGTGCCATTAGTTTGTCAGTCACCTTCCTCTATCTATGAGTTTGAAGTTTGTCTCCAAATTCTCCACAGTGGGAAACAGGCATTCTCTCATACACCATTGATGGGAATGCAAAATGGTACAGTCCTAATGGAGGGGGAATTTGGCAATATGTAGCAACATTAAAATCCCAGCAAAGGCTCCGCACCCATAGCTCAGTGGTTAGGGTGCCAGCCACATACACAGAGGCAGGCCGGCTCAAACCTGGCCCAGGCCTGCTAAACAACAATGACAGTTGCAACAACAACAACAACAAAAATAGCCTGGTATTGTGGTGGGCACCTGTAGTCCCAGCTACTTGGGAGGCTGAGGCAAGAGGTTGCTATGAGCTGTGACACCACGGCACTCTACCGGGGGCAACACAGTGAGACTGTCTTGAAAAAAAAAAATCCCAACAACCATAATTCTATGAGTCTATCCTAAAGATGTGCTGGCAAAAAGATGCAAAAATAGGCTCGGCGCCTATAGCTCAAGCGGCTAAGGCGCCAGCCACATACACCTAGGGTGGCGGGTTCGAATCC